GCGCCCTCCGCCCGCCTTACGACCTTCCTCTCTCTCCAGAGCGCCCCCTGAGAGCGAGTGTTCCCCGGCCCCCACCTCATGGTCTGGCGGACAGGGCCCGTTTCTTTTTCTTTTTCGTTAATATATTTTATTAATTTTTTACAGAGAGGAAGAGAGAGGGACAGAGAGTTAGAAACATGGATGAGAGAGAATCATTGATCAGCTGCCTCTTGCACACCTCCTACTGGGGATGTGACTGCAACCAAGGTACATGCCCTTGACCGGAATCAAACCCGGGACCCTTCAGTCCACAGGTTGATGCTCTATCCACTGAGCCACACCGGTTTCGGCCCAGGACCCTTTTCTTGTTAAAGGACATACCCTCCAATTAACCACCACAACGCCAGGCCCGGAGCAGGCTGACCCAGCACACACCCTCCTGTCTATTCCAACCTCTACCCGGGGCCTGGGGTTTCCAGAACTGCCCTGCCTGGCCCTGCTCACTTCACAGACCCTGAGGGCTGGACCGGCCAGGGCCAGGGTGTGCTCTGGCACTCACACTCAAAGACAAATGCCCTCCCTCCTGGCCGTGTGCAGCCCTGGCAGGCCAGGCACTCTCCGCTCTGACTCCAGAGGGCAGCACTCCGCTGGGACCAGCTGAGCCCTCTGCAAAGCTGGTGCGGTGCCAGCTGCAAAGCTCCTCTAAGGAAGTGTTCCCCGGAGTCAGTGGGCACGCCCCTGCCTGGTCAGGGCAAGGGGAGAGGCCTGGATGGCAGGAGAAGGGAGCAGTGGGGGAGGGAGGCGTAGAAGGAAGAGCCCATCTCAGGGCAGGGCAGCTCCAGAGGAGGTGGTGTTACCCGAGAGTTAATGGAGTTGGGAGTCAGATGGGGGGGGGGGGGGAGGGGGGAGGTGTGTGGCAAACTGCACGCGGGTGGACTTCCTGGGTGTAAGCGGCTTGTGGGTGAGGGGTTTGGCCTCTAACCCAAGGGGATCCACAGCAGGCAGTGGCCGCGTGGCAGGCCTGCGATTCAGAAATCCTAGCGAGCCCTGGCAACACGTTTCATCGGAAGGCAGATTGGAGGGGCCTCACGCAACACCCCGCGTTCCAGGGCAAGTCTATGTTGAAGAAGTGGCGTAGAAGACGTTTACGTTTAAAAAAATGTGGCTCTCCAAAGAACTGTCAATCGTGGTGCTGTTGCTATGTGGCTCTGTGGACGAATGAGTGCGCCATCCACTGGGATAGACTGGGCATCGCTCCGTACAGTAGGGCCTCCGAGCTCTGCCCAGGATGCCTCTGAGAGGCGGGGCCCTGGGGCTAGGGAGATGACTGCCCGGAGGCCAAGGCCTCGCTGGAAATAAAAGCCATTTCACCAGGTGATTCTTGTCCTTGTGAGGTGAGCGTAACTGCAGAGGGAGGGACCTGGGAAGGCTCCACAGAGGAGGCGACAATGCAGGGAAGCAAGAAATAATGGATTGGCCCTAATTTAAAAAAAAACAACAAACAAACCTGTGCCTCTAAGAATGTTCTGGGTTCCCTCCCCCTTGTCTTCTGAAAGCGAAAGCTCTGTGGACACCAAAGAGTTTCTCTACCATGTGTCTGATGTTGCATGGACAGTAGGGAAATATATACTTTAGAAAATGCCCAGGTTTCTAAAATGATTACAAGTACATAGGCATTTCATACATTTCAAAGTAAGTGAATTTTTGAAGTGGGGTGAGTGGTAAAAGGAGGAGCCGGACATGAACATATAGAAATAGGAAACAATGCCGAAACCGATGTGGCTCAGTGGATAGCAGACTGAAAGGTCCCAAGTTCGATTCCGGTCAAGGGCATTTATAATACCTTGGTTGCGGGCACATCCCCAATGGGGGATTGTGCAGGGGGCAGCTGATCGAAGATTCTCATCGATGTTTCTAACTCTCTGTCCCTCTCTCTTCCTCTCGGTAAAAATAAATAAATTAAATAAATAAATAAATAAATAAATAAATAAAAATATATTTTATTGATTTTTTTACAGAGAGGGAGAGGGAGAGAGAGCTAGAAACGTCGATGAGAGAGAATCTTCGATCAGCTGCCTCCTGCACACCCCTCACCGGGGATGTGCTCCCAACCAAGGTACATGCCCTTGACCTGAATTGAACCTGGGACCTTTCAGTCTGCAGACCGGCGCTCTATCCACTGAGCCATACCAGTTTCAGCAATAAAATATATTTTAAAAAATTGAAAACAAAGACAACACTGAATGGTGATACCTGAAAGACCCCCGAAAGGACGACTACACAAACACAGTTCTGAGAAACTGCGATTTTATGACTCACCTTCCTGTTCTATTCAGGACCCTTCCAATTACATCCTAATTTCTATCTACGGGTATAAAGGAGGAGCGGGAAGGGCCGCAGAGCCAAGAGCTAGCACGGCTAGCATGCGGGAGAGTCTCTATGCACACTATGAAATGCCAGTTTTGAAACGTGTCATTTTACCTTTTCGAGAGGAAACCCTTTCTCTTAGAAGCCCAGGGTTTTAACCTCAGGCAACTGACAGGCAAAGCCCACGACCTGTTCAGTCTCTGGTGACCACTGACTAGGTGCACGCAGACAGCACAAGGCACTCCATGGTGGGGAGTTTCTCACTTCTCTCCTCACTTCAGTCAAGGGCATGGGCCAGAGTGCATCTCTGATTCTTGTTTTCAAGTAACTTCCTAGTTAGTCCAGCGCTGGGCACCCAGTCCTCCAGGAATAATCCTGCAACTGGTCACCGACACCCCTGGTGTCCAGGGTACCGTGATGGTCAGGTGACCAGTTCTGCTATGCTCGGGTGGAGGCCTCCCTTTCCCTAACGGCATCCTGCTGCGAGCTCTGCAGGCTGCACACTCACCCCAGCACCGTGCACTGGGGCGCTCCCCCAACCCCTCCCCAGCGCCAGGCCAGCACTGCAAAGGCTACGGCGCTCCTTGGAGCTGACAAGATGCTGGGTCTCTTCTGATTCTGTCCGGGCAAGACTCTTTTCTATGTCCTCCTGTGCAGATTTGGGCAAGGTGACCAGGCGTCCCGATTTTTAACAATGTGTCCCGCATAAAAGAAATTGGGACTTAAAAAAAATATATATATATTTTATTGATTTTTTAACAGAAAGAGAGGGACAGAGAGTTAGAAACATCGATGAGAGAGAAACATCGACCAGCTGCCTCCTGCACACCCCCTACCAGGGATGTGCCCGCAACCAAGGTACATGCCCCTGACCGGAATTGAACCTGGGACCCTTCAGTCCGCGCCAACGCTCTATCCACTGTGCCAAACCGGTTTCGGCGGGACTTTTTTTTTTTTATTTTTTTTAAACGCCGCTGCGGGACAAATTGTTAAAAAATCAGGACTGTCCCGCCAGAAGCGGGACGTCTGGTCACCTTATATTTGGGACAAAAACAACCTCTTTGCCAGCGTCACGAGACGGTGGTCGGACACGCAAGAGAAAGTGGGGGGAAAGGACTCCAGTGGCCCCAAAGCCCAAGCGCACTCCTCATCTCCAGGCTCAGAGGCCCGCACGGGCCGCGAAGCACAAAAAGGCGTGGGGAGGGGACCTCGGAAGGACAATCGGGGGGCGTGGAGCGGGGTCGCCGGCCGTCGCCGCCACCGCCTCCGGTTGCATCTCCGGCCTCTCCCGCGCGCACGCCGCCGCCGGGGCGGGGAGACGCGCTCGCTGGCCGCGTCCGGACGGAGCTGCCCGGGCTGCAGGCACGGCCCTCGCCCCCGGAGGCTTTGTTCCGCCGCAGCCCCTTCCCCAGCGCTCCCGCCGCGAAACCGGCCCGCGGGGCGCCGCCGGCAGGTCCTCCCGGGAGGCGCCCAGACGCGGGGCGCGCTGGGGCGGGATCGTGAACGGGCAGCGAGGGGACCCGAAGGGGTGCCCCCACAGAGGGCTTGTGCCGTTTGCATATGGGGGCGGCGGGGAGGACACGCACTGGGCCGGCCTCCTCCCGGGAGAACTGGAAGGCGGGCCGCTGCCTCCCGCGCGGGCAGCTCGCGCGGGCTCCGCAGGGCGCGCTGGCTGCGGGGCGGGGCGGGGCGGGGCGGGGCGGGGCGGGGCGGGGCGGAGGGGCGGGCCCGGGGCCTGCACGTGGCGGGACAGCTCTCCCCGCTGCCCAGCCCGGGAGGAGGCCACCCCGGCCCCGCTCCGGAGGGTGTTTCCCCCGGGGCGCCCCGACATCGCAGGTTGGGGAGAAGAGGGAGGGAGGGAAGACGCGAACCTCTCCAGCGCGGGGACGACAGCGTGGGAAGCCGCCGAGCAGGGACACGGGGGAGGGCGGGACGCAGGGCTGAACCGTACCTCGGTCGGCGGGCTGGAGCCAAGGGCAGGGTCGGCGTCCCGGAGCGCGGCTTCCCGAGGCGGCCGCCCGCGGCTCGCGCGGCTCCCGGCGCCGGACGCCAGGCGCAGGGCCCACGTGGCCCGCCGCGCGCCGCGCTGTTTACATTCCGCAGCGGCTGCACGTGGTGCGCGGCGCTCGCCTCCCATTGGCCCGCTCGCCGGCCCCTCCCCCGAGGGGCGGGCCGCCCGCTCCGCTCCGCGCGCCTCTGCGGAGAGAGCCCGGCTCCCCTGGACCTCGGCGGGGCGGCGCGGGAGGGCGCGCCCCGGGGTGGCCCCTTCGCGGCCGCCCTCTGCTTCCCGGAGTCGCCCCGGCCGCCGGGCCGCACGCCGGGCTGAGCCTGACACCCTCAGGGCCCGGGCTCCGCGGCGGGAGGGAACGGAGCCGATTGGCGGGCGGCGCGGAAGCCAGCGGAGCGGGGAGCCGGGTCCGGAGGAGGAGGAGGGGCCTCCGAGCGCTGCCTCCCGCCGGCGGGCCGCGCGGGCAGGTGGACGGGGCGCGGGCGGCCGCGGGCTGCGCGGCCGGAGACGCCCCGCGGCCCCTCGCGGCGGGCGGAGGCGGGCGGGGGCCGGCGCGTGGGCTGCGGGCGCGCGCGGCGGGCGCGGGGGCGGGGCGCGCGGGCCGGAGTGTCAGTGCGCGGCGCATGCGTGCGGGGCGGGCCTATATATGGGGTTGGCGCCGGCGGCAGCGGAGCCGAGCGGCGGTCGGGCGCTGAGGTGCGGGCGGTGAGGAGGTGCGGGCGGCGGGCGCGGGAGGGACGAAACCCGGGCTCCTTGGGCCGCTCCTCTCCCGGCGGGAAGCTGAGGCCGAGGCCGAGGCTGAGGCGGGAGGCGGAGGGCCGGCGGCTGGTGGGGCCGGCTCCTGCCGGGACCTGGGGCCGGGGCCGGGGGATGGCGGGGGCGGGGGCTGCCCTGGGTGCCAAGCCCCGGAGACCCCCCCCCCCCTTTCCCTGTGGTCCTGCGGGCTTCTCTCCCGCCCCCATTTGGGAGCCGTCCCGCGGGAGGACGGGTGTCCGGGCCCCCGTCACGGGGAGAAAAGCCCCCGGACGGCAGTTCCCCCGCCGTGAGGGGAACCCTCTTCCCCTCCCCGTCACCCCGTCCCGGCGCCGCCTCTGAGCCACAGGCGGGCCGGGGGGTGAGGGGGCGGGGAGGCGGGGAGGGCGCTGCCGGGCGCCACCCGCCCGCGCCCGCCGCCCCTGCTCCCGCCATCGCGGGTCCAAATTGGCGCGGAACCGGCGGCTGCACAGCCCGGGGTGGGGGTGGGGTGGGGTGGGGGGCGCTGTCTCCCCCACCCGCGGGGCGATGGGGGTGCGGAGAAGACCCCTTTGGGGGAGACCTTCCTTCCCGCGCTTTCGGGGGCCGGGGGGGTGGTTTGTAAATATTAAATACATGACCCGCACCCTGGCTGCGCTGTCCGCGGAGGAAATGCAGGCTGTGTCCAAAGCGAACGCCACGCGATAGCGAGCGCGGTGCCGGGCAGCAGGGGGGCGTCCGGCACCCGGGGGGCTGGGCTGGAACCTCCGGGCCAGCGTCCTCCGGGAATGGGCAGGGCGACGTGCCTGACTCGTTCTCTCTCCTCCAGAGGTTGGTTCCTGCACCTGGAGAGAATGTCAAGACGCAGGTAACTTTTTTTTTTTTTTTTTGTCTTGCAGATGTGTTTCATGTGTGTTAGCTGCGGGCCTTGGAAACGCATGCTTTGCTAATTAAACCTTGTTCTTCTCTCTCTCTTTTTTTTAATCCACCTTAGTAGCCGTTTACAAGCGAAGCAGCAGCCCCAGCCCAGCCAGACGGGCTCCCCGCGGGAAGCCCAGATAATTCAGGCCAAGAGGAGGAGGACAGCCGAGGTGGGAGAGGGCAGAGGGGGGGACGGGGGAGGAGACCGCTGGCTGGGACCTCGGGGTAACGCAGCCTTTTCTGCCTCCAGGATGTGAGGAAGCGGCGAGAGGAGAAGGCGGCCCAGAAGCAGCAGTATGAGATCAGGGTACGCGGCCGCGGCTGGGGGGCTGGGCTCCCTGACACTTCCCCTCGGCGCCCCTAGAGGGCGGCAGGGAGGCGCTTCTCTGAAGGGAGGTTGAGAGCCTGAATCCGGCTCAAGTTTTCCTCCAAGCAGCTGGTTCCTCTTTGTGAATTCCTCCCTTTCGGAGGGAGCACCGGGGCCCGCCTGATCTGCCCCGGGCCCCGCTCTTTGTTCCCCTCTGGCTGGAGGGGAGGTCCTTGAGCCGCTCCTGGGGGCGCAGAGAGGATGCAGGGTCGCTGCACACTGGCAGCCAGCCCCGGCCACCGAAGCCCTCCTGTGTGTTGGCAGGAAGACACTTGAGAGACGGTGGCGCTCTTTGAAACCAACATTCATTGGGGGAAAGGGTCCTTTAAGTAGGACTTAATTGATTCCTCTTGCTCCCATTCTTAAGGTTTTGCCTGAAAGTAATCTAAGGTGTCAGAGCAAGATTAACTGGGGGGGGGGGGGGGGGGGGGGAACGTGGGTAAGCTTTTTATACAACAAGGTGCCCTGCCACTATTAACAGCAATTTTTATAAATCTGTAAGTTATTAGTATCTGACTTCAGATGCATTGTTATTCCTCCATTCCCCCAATACGTAATGTCTTGTATTTCCAGAATACCAGTTACTCTTTATGAAGACTGATATGAGCTATACGACTTATTTATGAAATATAAGTAGAACTGCCAGCTTACTAAACTACTAGTCAGCATGTTAGCTAGCAATGGTGTTTTGGGGGGAACTGTAGACTGTTTAGAAATATTAGCTCCCATTTATGAAAGATCTCAGATAAAAGCTGGTTTCCTATTGCACACACATTCTTTTTTTCTTTTAAATGACAGAATTGTTGGCCACCTGTATTATCTGGAGGGGTCAGTCCTTGCATTATCATTGAAACACCCCACAAAGAAATAGAGACAAGCGACTTCTCCAGATTTACAAATTACAGATTTAAAAATCTTTTTATTAATCCTTCACCTTTGCCTGATTTAAGGTAAGAAAATTTTCAGTAATTTAATATCAGATTAAAATTGTATGGACTTCATAAAGGGCATTACTTTATTTTTTACCTTCATTATAAGATAGAAAAACCTGTAAAAAAATTACTTTCTTTACTGATATTTAAGGATATATAATCTAACTAGTGCTGTTTGCAAATGATAGAGGAATTTTAAACATTGATTCCATAAGGTTATTTTCATTTGCTTGCTGAGTATGGTAAGCCTTATCAGAAATGAATCACCTTTTTAATGGAGTTTAAATAATTTATCTAAATGGTTAAGATGAAAACATTTTAACATGTATAATTTGATATATCCATCCCATTTATTTCTTTCCAAGTTTAGTAAGGTCTACACTTTTTTCTAGTTAATGAGCAGGACTAGGAAGTACAGCTTATACAAAACCTCTAGTAATTTAGAGTCACTGTTAGTGACTCTACTATTGGTAAAATAGTTGGAGGCAATTGAAACTTGACTCTACTGGGATCATATGCTTTAAATATTTGCCTTTTTAGTATTGCTCTTGAGAAAACATGGCTATCTTATATAGGATTATAAGTAAATTGGAACAAAACACCTTTTGAAATCTGTCAGTTTAGATTATCATAATCCAAGTTTTTACTGTATAATTTCAGGTTTCTACTTTTTCATGCTAAAAGTTAGATAAAACTACCTTAAGAGTGTCTCCTGCCAAGTTCTAAATTGAAAGTTGGATTTCAGTGTCTTAAAGTTGAATTTTTCCTATGTAAAACACAGCTTGTATATTATGTAAACCACACAATTGTCTTTTTACCCTTTTTCCATAGCTGGGGATGTTCAAATGATGTTTGGCTAAACATGCTAAAGAAAGAGACCCGATATGTTCATGACAAACATTTTGAAGTTCTGCATTCAGACTTGGAACCACAGATGAGGTCAATACTTCTAGACTGGCTCTTAGAGGTATGTTCCAGCAGTACAAATTTCCTGTCTCTGTACGATGGAAATATTTAGACGTAAAGGTGCTTTTCATGTGCCCTCACGATGTATTATCCATGGCTAGCAGCCACCTTGTTTAGGGCTACTTACTATAGTTTATAGTACTGAAATGGAAAATCATGAGGACACAGCCACTACATCTCAATCTCACACAGCCCAAACCAAATTCAGAATTCTTGCTATTGGGGTATTGCTGTGTACCAGACGCCGTTCAAGGTGCTGAGGGTATTCAAGATGAATAGAATATATAGTTGACAAGGTTTTGAATTCTGCTATGCAAAGTGAAAAGACTAGGCTTCAGAGCTTTCAAAGTCCTTTCTGTATCATCAAAATCAAGGTATAATTTGTAATCCTGATTTCTATGTCCTAAACCAGTGGTCAGCAAACTCATTAGTCCACAGAGCAGCAAACCTCGGCTCGCGAGCCGCAGTTTGCTGACCACTGATCTAAAGGAATGTGTGATCTTGAAGTCCCTACAGATGTGTGTCAGACTAACTTGTTTAAGCCCACTCACTATTACTAAGGAAATGATTACTTACATTGAATACAAACTGATTTTTGCTCTGTAATTTCCCTAATAGATAGAAATGATATATCCTAAGGGAGAAAAACTATAGCCTTTCTGGCGGAGTAACACATGGTAGAGTAGATCTGCCAGAAGCTACTCAAAAAAGTCTTTAGGACTACAAAATGTTTTGAGTCAGATTATCTTAATTCCTTATTCTGACTAAAAAGGAAGATTGTATTCCAGCCATGAAGTTGTAAGGTGGTGGTTTTTTATTTTTTTCTAAGTGTCTTGTGATCATGGAAGCAATTTCAGCACAATTATTGTTGATTTTGCTTTATTTTCCTTTTTACGTTTCATTGATTTTTATCTAGTGAAGGTCTATGAAATGTATTCCTATTTTCCCTTACGTATATGATTAGGTATGCAAAACTGTACAGAATATATTAAGACAAATCCAACAGCTGAAATCGGTTTGGCTCAGTGGACAGAGTGTCGACCTGCATTCCAGTCAAGGGCATGTACCTTGGTTGCGGGCACATGTGCAAGAGGCAGCTGGTCGATGTTCCTAACTCTCTCTTTTTTCCTCTCTGTAAAAATTCAGTAAAATATATATATATATTTTTTAAAAAGACAAATCCAACAGTGTTAAATTCTACTTTGTCTTAGGATACAGGGTGGGGCAAAAGTATGATTAGAGTAGGTCTAAAGTTGTTCATATGGAACATAACTATTGAGTAATCACAACTCTAAACCTACTTTTGCCCAACCCTATAGCCTTTCAGCATTTGAAAATCTGTTGATTACCTAAATAGTTTAAATCATAAATCTCACTATATGTGGAAGATATTTTTTGAAATTCAGTATCCATCTCTGATTTTAAAACATGTAGTAATAAAGTTCCTTGACACATTGTTATCATAACCTCTATCCCTCTGTTTTCTTATCTTCAAAATGGGGATAACGGCCCTTAAAAGCTTCCCCGATGATAAATGTGGAAATGAAAGATACTATTTATTATTAATAACAATAATTTATAGGGGAATTCCCATTACAGTCCTAAACAAGATATGATAAAAAAGTTTATCATTAATGTTAATTCAGTTTTCTTCTATAATTTTACCCAGTACAATAAAACATGAAAAATAAATGACATGAAAACATTGAAACACCATTGTCATTTTTTAGTTAAATCTCTATCAAAAATGAGAAGAGAATCAGTTGGAACTATTGGGATAAGAATATAAACGAAACATGAAAATTTACCTATTTGTCAGCAATAAATAATTAGGAAATGAATAAAAAAAATTCTTATTCATGGTAAAAATATAAATGTATCTGGGAATAAATACATTTTTTAAGTCCATATGAAAAAAAACTATAAGAGTAAATGCAGACAACAGATTTGTTTATCCTGTTAGTGCATGTTATTTTTCTCCCCAATCTTAACTTTGGTATCCTAAAAAGCAAAGTTGGGTTTAAGAAAGTATTGTAAGGTCTAGTATACTAAGATACAGCTTTCTAATTTGGAGAAATTCATGGAGTAATATTTAACCTTGGCGTTCTTGTCTAGGTATGTGAAGTCTACACACTGCATAGGGAAACATTTTACCTTGCGCAAGACTTTTTTGATAGATTTATGTTGACACAAAAGGATATAAATAAAAATATGCTCCAACTCATCGGAATTACCTCATTATTCATTGCTTCCAAACTTGAGGTAAGTTCTCAAAGTTTATCCAGACATATTTTCCAACCCAGTTTTCACATCAGCACATCAATTCCAGAAACAATACTACTTTGATGTTAACTCCTTAGAGAAGACTGGTGGGTTTGTCATTATTTTCTGAACGTTATGATTTGGATAAATATCATAGTTCCCTTTTAGTATCCAAACCTGGATAAGTGCCTGGTTTAAATTCTGGAATATCTAGGTCAAATATTACATGGCTCATTCTGCCAAACAGAATACCAGTATACTGATGCTGTCCCTGTATACAGAATTATGGGGACATAAAGACTCAATAGAATGGTCTTTGAAAACTGATTAACCAATCAAATGAAATACTTTTTGGGTTAAAATAATATTTTTGTATCTGATGGTGGTGCTAGGATAGATAGCACTCCTTTCCTGCTTGAGATTTTCCTTCACACAATCTCAATTCCAGTCAAGGGCAGATGTCTGGGTTGCGGGCTCCATCCCTAGTGTGGGGGTGTGCAGGAGGCAGCCAACCGATGATTCTCTCATCATTGATGTTTCTCTCCCTCCTTCCTCTCTGAAATACACACACACATATATATATATAAAAAAAACCTGTAGGTAGTTTGTTTATAATTCTTTTGTTTTCACGTCAATCTCATCTGTGCTTAACACTAATTTTAAAATCCATTTTAAAGGAAATCTATGCTCCTAAACTCCAAGAGTTTGCTTATGTCACTGATGGTGCTTGCAGTGAAGACGATATCTTAAGAATGGAACTCATTATATTAAAGGTAATAATAATTATATATTTTATTCTAGTTGCAATCTAATAACAGTAATTATTACTGAATCTCAAATACTACAATGTAAGTAATCAAAACTGAGGTTTTAGTATTAGGATCCAGTTCTAAAAGGCTAATGCAAAATATTAACAACCTATTAAATTCTATTTTTCTATAACTTTCAAGTTTCTATATTGAGAATATACTACTTAAATTATGGACATTTTCAAAACATATAGGTAGTTAGTAGTTAGCATATAATATACACAAATGAATTGCAATGATTCCCAGACCTTGGTCATTTTCCCCTTCTTCCAGCAGACAGAAAATAGAATTATTTCACTGCCTTTTTCTATATGCAGAGAAAGGGCTATTAATAGGAAAATGGAGGAGAGATTAGAGATTAAAGAGTAAGTGTAAACTACTAGAAAGTATGTTATTAAATTTGTACATCATGGGTTTATTAATAGGATATACAAGGAAACAATCAATATGACTTTCATTTACAAATTATCATGTAATGTTTACAAACTGTAAACATTCAGGTAGCTGTGATAGAATGGGATCTTGTTGGCATGTTGATACTGTTTTAATAAAATTATCCAGATTCAGACTTGTAGTACAAGGATGTAAAGGGAAGATGGCATTCTCTGTGCAATTCTATAGGTGTTAGACCCTCTGCTTTCTCCTAATTATTTTGGACTTCTTATAAATGGTAAAGTCTCAGGGTTTCACGGAGGGAATGATGTCATTGGAGATTACAATAATAAAGAAAAATTTAGAATCAATTCTTAAGACGATCTGAATAGAATTTGTTATGGAGTCATTGAATACAATTAAAATAGTATTAATAAAGTAGAGAACAGATTTGGAAGACCATCGACTGCAAGAAATGAGAAAAGCAGTAATAAATAATAGGCTGAATGAACTTTGTAAATACAATTAAAGAATAAGAGGGTCTATGTCAATAATAGTCTATAACACACAAGCAGCTTTTGATGGTGAGGTATCGATAAATATCTTGAATAAAAATAGGGGTCCAGAATAATAAGACTCCTAGGAAAAAATAAGCCTAAAGACAAAGTTTCTTAAATGGCTAGGTTAGAAAGTATCTATACAATGTGGTATCTCTGTACCTATATTTAGTAACAGGCATTTTCATTTAACAGGCTTTAAAATGGGAACTTTGTCCCGTAACAGTCATCTCCTGGCTCAATCTCTTCCTTCAAGTCGATGCTCTTACGGATGCTCCTAAAGTTCTCCTACCTCAGTATTCTCAGGAAAAGTTCATTCAGATAGCTCAGGTATTGACATTGTTATTGAATATATGCCCATGTTAACTACAGGTTTTGTTCAGCTTTTTAAAAAATAGATGGATTTGAGAGAGAATCATCAATTAGTTGTTCCACCCACCCATGCATTCCCAGGTTGATTCCTGCCTGGACCCCAACCAATTCCCCCAACCAGGAATCGAACCAGCAGAGCCCTCGCGCATTGGGATGCTGCTTCAGCGGAGCCAGGCGCCAGGGCCTTAATGTATTTATAGTCATAAATAAGCTATCCAACAAATGACATTTTCTTTTCTTTTTTAAAAAATATATTTTATTGATTTTTTTTACAGAGAGGAAGGGAGATAGAGAGCTAGAAACGTCGATGAGAGAGAAACATTGACCAGCTGCCTCTTGCACACCCCCTACCGGGGATGTGCCTGCAACCAATGTACATGCCCTTGACCGGAATCGAACCTGGGACCTTTCAGTCCGCAGGCCAAAGCTCTACCACTGAGCCAAACCGGCTTTGGCACAAATGACATTTTCTAACTTCCTGTGTGTGTGTGGTGGGGGGGGGGGGGGGGTGCAGGGGGGAAGAGAGAGGGAGATGGAAAGAGGGAAAGAGAGAAAAATCTATTCTTAATTCTATGTAGGATGTGAAAATCCAGTAAACACTTCATGAGCACTAAATCTGGATAACCAGTAAATGGACAGTCTGCAGGTCTATGCTTTATCCACTGGGCGAACCGGCTAGGGCATAATTTATGTTTTGTTCACTGGACTGATATCACTTCAGGCCTCTGAAATCTAGTCCTTTTACAGCTTATTGCCTGGAATATACTGCTTTTTATCTAATCTGTTTAGAAACATGTTTTCTCTTTTTGTATCTACTTTACCTTAGTCTTAGTTAATCGTTCTTCAAGTGTAACTTTCCAGTTTCAAAATGTTCCAGTAATCAGAACTCTAAAAGTTCTGGTCTCTTCAAGACCCTTTATGATCTAATCTAGGTTATGCCTCTGCAACTACCCCCATCCATTTAAAAAAAGAAAAAAAAAAAAAAAAAGGAATAAAGGTACTTTTTTTTTTTTTTTTTTTTTACTGTAGATGTTCTGAACTGCTACTTGAGTTCCAAAGGAAATGCTCTCTCATTTGTCTTCACAAATGCCGTTTCCTATAGCGACAGCACTCTATTTCCCTGGCTGCCTTGTATTTGTCTTTGAAGCAGAAGGTCTTCCCCACACCGGTCCTTGCAGAAGTCACACTGTGTAACAGTCCCCAAGACTCCACTTTCTTCAGGGTGGTGGCTTATCTTAGATGACTGATATTAATTTTCACATCCTACGTGGAATAAGACTGTAGATTTTCTTATATATGGCACAGCAGCCTTAAGATACTGAGAAGTAGAGAATTGAAATTGTTAAAATCGTTAAGGTGATTTTAATTCTAATGTGTAAAATAGGTGCTATGTATTCAAAAGTGTTACTGAGTTTTGATATTTTATGTCTCCTAAATACTTTGTATTTTTGCTTTTTCCTTTGTCAGCTTTTAGATCTGTGCATTCTAGCCATCGATTCGTTAGAGTTCCAGTACAGAGTACTGGCTGCCGCCGCCTTGTGCCATTTTACCTCTATTGAAGTCGTTGAGAAAGCCACAGGTAAGCCGTTATTTTACCCTCTTAGCGGTTCACAGCTTTTAGAGGACTATTAATTTATGAACTTTAGCATGCTGCTAAACAGAAACTAATATTTTAATGGGAAACATTTAGCAGTGTAGTGATTATCTTCCGTCTGCTAGTTCAAATCCTCAGTGTCTATTCACAAACAAAAATAAGGTCAAATGTAATTTAAATCCATTTGAAGTTAATCAATATGATTACAGTTCTGCTTTAAGAGTTCTTTGGGTTTTGATCATTTTAATTTCCTATGTAGAAGATACTGGTTAAGAAGCTCAAAGTCTTTTTCCTCCCTCAAAATAGTCTCATATAGTTTGAAAGTCATAATCTGTTTTGACTTGCTAAAACTTTTGATTTGAGCTTTTAAAATGAGTTTTAATATAGCTATCCTTAAATTTGGAAGCAGGAACAAACTCATTAGGCATATATTAGTACTTTCTGATGTCACCTTACATTTTGCTAACTTTCCTAGGTTTGGAATGGGACAGTATTTCTGAATGTGCAGAGTGGATGGTACCTTTTGCGAGTGTAGTAAAAAGGACTAGTCCAGTGAAGCTGAAGATGTTTAAGAAGGTTTCTATGGAAGACAGACACAATATCCAGACACACACAAATTATCTGCCTATGCTGGTATGTTTCTTGTGGGTTTTTTTGGTCTTACTGTCTAGTAAGTCACCAAAACGATGACTGGAAGGATGCTACAGAATAAAGGGATAGAAAGTTCTAATGGGCACAGTGATTTCAAAATGTAGAAGAGTTAATGACTGTGAAGTCAAAGCAAGATTTGTGACGTTTCTTAAGATCAATGCCAATAGTCTACTTTAAGACTTAAAAAAACAAAAATTACAGCAGTTCAAGTTGCTAAATCTTAGAATATGACATCAAGTTGCAAAGACATAAAAAGACCATTGTAAATAGACCCAGAGACTAGAAGCATCCAACAGACTATCAAACCTCAGAGGGAAGGCATGGGCGGTGGGAGGGGGGGGAGATCAATCAATTAATTCTTATGTGCATAACCCATAGGCACAGACAATAGGGTAATATTAGATCGTGGGAGCAAGGGGGTCATATGTAATACTTTCTATACTAAAAAGACATGCTTATTTCCTTTATACATATCTCTCTGCACCTATTATCTGTATATCTGTTTTTTATAAATAAAGTAAAAATTTTCATAAATGGGAAAATAAAAAAGGCCATTATATTAGTATCCAGAAATCTGGCTTGACTTTATTTTACTATGTCAATACTTTACCTTAGTGGCTAATCTGCATTTCTTCACATGTGTAGGAGGAAGTCAATTACGTAAACACCCTCAGGAATGGGGGACAACTGTCACCAGTGTGCAATGGAGGCATCATGACACCACCGAAGAGCACTGAAAAACCATCAGGAAAACACTAAAGAAGTTAACTAAGCTGACAAGTATTCACTGAGTTTTGGGGGAAATGTACTAAAGTTTTACAGGAAAATAGTGGCAGGACTACCCCAGCCAGTTCAGAAATTTCAATGTTATTCTTTGATTTTAAAAATCACGTAAAATTGGCACTAAGAAATGTATTTCATTGTCAGCTGTTTAAAGAAACAGCAGGCCTTGTTTATAAAAAAATAATTCCCAAGGTGACTGGATAGAAGCCAGCCACAATTTATGCCATAAAAACTTTTTGATCCAGTGTTACTATTTTGATGGACTAGGAATTTTATCATTAAAATCTTAGACTAGATAAGTGCTACCTAAAAGATACGTTAAGTGATACAATACTTGGAATCTAGTTTTTAGATTCTCAAAAGTCAAATTGTTTTTGCTTAGTGCAATTTGGTTCTTGAAAATAAAATTTAAGCATGTTTACAAAGGTTTAGTTTTGTAATAAGGTGACTAATTTATCTATAGCTGCTGTAGCAAGCTATTGTAAAACTTGAATTTTTATTAATGGTGAACTTTAAAGTATTTTTTAGCTAGTTTATTTGCCTTGCCATACATAACATTTTGAACCAGAAAGGCTAAGAACATGGTGTTTAAAATTGCGCTCTAAACAGTGGGAATACCAAAGAAATTATAAACAATGTAAATGCGGGGGCTCCTAGGTGGGGCTTCCACATACAGGTTGCTTTATAGTAACTTTTTTTGTACATCACAATTTGAGTGAGAATTAATTACCCTTTCAAACTATTTATATGAGAAAGTCACTTTATTACGCTGAGGCAGCGGTTGCCAACCTTTCGGACCACTGGTTGACGACCGCTGCTCAAGATTTTTTATTTTTTAGTGTGACTAAGGCTTTATTTACATTTGCAAAACTGCTAAGGTCCTTAACTCCGACAAGAGTTAAGCTTGATCATTTTGACACTGTCCTTAACACCTGACCTAAACTTCTATTAAGGCAGAAAAGTATTAAATGTATACCAATTCCCAGCAATCTATTTATTTAAAAAACAAGTAAACTTCACATAAGAAGTTGGTATATAGACTAGTTCTACATAATGCTTTTGGGAAAATTAATTTCAGCATCAAAAATGGATTTAATTAGAAAACAAATTATAGGTTGTCACTAGACATGTGAATCTCTTCTTTGAAGAAATTATAAAATTGAAGAAATTATCAAATTTAAGCTATTATGGCATGAAATCTTCTGTATAGTTTGTTTTTAAATTGTTTCGGTATTTTGTCTGGAAAGAAAACACCACTAAATGTGAATATTTGTATTATATATAAACTTAATCTTTTAATACTGTTTATATTTAGCCTATTGTTTAAAAAATAAAGTTAAAAAACTTTAACTGCTTAAAAGTAAAGTTTCGCCATTGCTTGTAGGAACTTCTTTTTCCTCCTCTGCGCTGCCAGCTGTAACACTTCTTCTGGGTTGCTTGCGTTCAATTCTGTCTGACCAATGGCTTTGATCTTCCAAAACAGAAAAGTGATATTAGAGATATGGCAAAAAGTAAAGTCTTGCCAACATACACATACATGAAACTACTTACTGGTATAGAAGTTACAGAAGGTGGGGGTCAGATGGGCAAATCATATGTGGCCTTACAGACCACTGTATGGACTTAACCACTGTGAAATGAGAAGCCATTTAAAGATCTAGAGTAGAGAGATGACACGATCTAATATTTTATTGTGAAATAAACTAGATGCAAATGCTCATTATCAAAATAGGATCTTTGAAAAAACCACTAATAGCCGAAACCGGTTTGGCTCAGTGGTAGAGGGACAGTCTGCGGACTGAAGGGTCCCGGGTTCGATTCCGGTCAAGGGCATGTACATTGGTTGTGGGCGCATCCCCGGTGGGGTCTGTGCATGAGGCAGCTGGTCGATGTTTCTCTCTCATCGACATTCTAGCTCGCTCTCTCCCTTCCTCTCTGTGAAAAAGCAATAAAATATATAATAGGCAGAAAAAACAAAACACTAATAACCAACTTTTGGAAATAACACACACACAAAATCTTTTTTTGTAGTTGATACAATTTGATACAATTCTTAACTATATTACTGAAACAAAACACAAAATTACCGCAATTTGTCTTTTATCTGTTTCTCCTCTTTTGTGATGAAGATCTAAATGAATCAGTTAAGAATAATAAGTCTAATACTATTAAAAACTACAGCAGAATCTCAACTCTGTTTTAGGTTTGGTTCAGAACAGTGGTCGCAAACTCATTAGTCAACAGAGCCAAATATCAACAGTACAACGATTGACATTTTTTTTGAGCCAACTTTTTTAAAGTTAAACTTCTTCTAATGCCACTTCTTCAAAATAGACTCGCCCAGGCCGTGGTATTTTGTGGAGGAGCCACACTCAAGGGGCCAAAGAGACTTATGTGGCTCGTGAGCCGCAGTTTGCCGACCACGGGTTTAGAAGATACACACTATTAAATACTGCTTTAATTTATAGAAATGAACTGTACTAATATCATGTTCATTAGATGAAAGGATACAAGTCAGGTATTCCAAAATGGTAACATCCCATATGTAGTCATAGTAGGAGTCCATAGCATCATGACTGAAAAAACAGAATTCAGTTACTTCTTCTTAAGCAGAAAAATAGTAGCTTCCTTTCTTTTTTAAAAATCATGCATACCTGTTTTGCTCCTGCAGTGATTTAAAGGCTGTTTTGTAGTCAATTTCTCTGAGGAACTGACATAAAATTGCCACCTACATGAACAAATAAGGATTTGAAAATGGTTTAAGGTAACTAGTGTGAACAATAACTCCTGACTTTAGAGGGGACATTTTTTATTCTTATATCAACAATATTAGCTCATATTGATGGATTCTATTCAATTTCAATTGCAAAAACCTTTATACAAACAACTGCCTACCCAATATCTACAGTTTTTAGAGGTTTATTTGAATGAGAAACTAATGAAAAGCCAGTTCAAAAATTGAAGGGAATGGAAAACTGCCAAACTGTCATGATATTCAAGGACATAAGAACATGCTAAAACCTTGACAGATGGCAGACACAGAGCTCATTTTGGCAAAATTTAGGCTGCCAGTCTGTTTAACCTAAAGCAGATCTACTAAAAGTATGTAGGTCATAATGCTTAATTATTAATTTTAAAAATATAATTTATATAACATGAAATACACCCTTTTATAATGCACAATTCAGTGGTTTTTAGTGTATTTACAAAGTCGTGCAACCATCACAACTATCAAATATCCTCCCTTCCGGTCATCTTCCCTCCCCTCCCTCTGCAAAAACTCCGTACCCACTGACATCACTTTCCATTCCTCTTCCCCCAGTCTCTGCCAACCACCACTCTACATTCTGACTGTGTGCATGTGCCTCTGCTGAACATTTCATCTTAATGGAATTATACAACAGCCTTTAGTAGCTGGCTTTTTTCACTCAACATAATACTTGTAAGATTCATCCCTGTTTTAGCATGTATCAATACATCATCCCCCTTTTATGACAGAATAATGTCCATTGTATAGACATCAAATTTCGTTTAACCATTCTTCATCTAACAAACACTGGGCTGTTTCTAAGTTTCTGGAAATAATATACTATAGACAATGCTGCTGTGAACATTCATGTACAAATTTTTCTGTGAACATAGGTTTTCTATGTTCTTGGCCATACACAGGAAAGGAAGTGCTGGGTCATGTGGTAATTACACTTTTAATTTTTGAGGAAATGCCAAACTTTTTCCAAAAGGTTGTCCTATTTTATATTCCTACCAGCATCATTTCTTCACACCTTTACCAACAACTGTTCCTATCTGTCTTTGAATAACGACCATATTAGTGAGTATGAAGTGATACCTTACCGTGGTATTGATCTGCATTTTCCTAATAACTAATGTATATATCTACTCTTAAATATAAAAATAAAAAAAAAACACACTTGAGAATGTTTCTTTTCCACTTTAAAGACCAATATTCTTTCATTTTAATTAAATTCTATAAAGGAGCCAGGATTTCAACTGGTGGTCCGTGAGGTCTGAAAGGTTGGTGATTGCTGGTTTAAGGAAACCTTGGGAGCAGCGGTCGCCAACCAGTGGTCCGTGGACCACTGGTGGTCTGTAAGTTCTGAAAGGTTGGCGACCGCTGCTATAAAGAACTAAAAAACTTAAATATGCCGAATTCTTAAATACCATAAACTTAAGCAATAGCAAGGAAAATACAAGCTATTTCCCAGTCCAACCCTTTATATTTACTATAAACTCTAATATACAGGAAAATCAAGATCAAAATATTAAACTAACCTGGGTGTGGCAATTCAGCAAAGAACAACACTTTATCATTCTTTTTATTACCTATAAAAACAATGTAGATTATTTTAAGAAACTAATTAACATCAATTATAATAAATGCACTGTTATGATATGGGATGTGAACAGGAGAGGTTATACATTTTTATAAAACTCCCAGCCTCAGCAGAATACACGTTTGTTTTTTAAAGTATACAGGGAACATTTACTAAGATATATGTGATAGCTGATACAAAGCAGGTATATGAGAATTCTAATTTTTTTTCTCTCTTTGCTATGAATCTAAAACTGTTCCAGCACCTAGCCAGTTTGGCTCCATGGATAGAGTGTCGGACTGCAGACAAAAAGGGTCCCGGGTTCAATTCGTCAAGGTCACATGCCCAGGTTGAGGGCTCAATTCCCAGCAGGAGGCGTGCAGGAGGCAGCCAATCAATGATTCTCAACATTGATGTTTCTATCTTTTTCTCCCCTCTCCTTCCCTCTCTGAAATCAATAAAAGTGTATTTTTTAAAAATTAAAAAAAATGAAACTGTTCTAAAAAACTATTAATTTTTAAAAAATATTGAAAAATTTTAAATATTGGACAGCAATCTGATCTAAAGCAATCGATTTGGGAGTAATCACAACAACAGAGAAATGAAAACTCACCCACAAGGGACCCAGCAAGAGCACTTAAAGGC